CCGCTTTGTGCAAATGCCATGTCATGCGCATCACTATGAGGACTTTGTGCCAAAGCCATGTCATGTGCATCACTATGACCGCTTTGCGCAAAAGCCCTGCTGTCATGTGCATCAATAGCCGTTTTGTGTCAAGTCCATGTGGATGTGAATCGATGGTTTCTTTTTGTAAGGACTAAAAGGATGTGCATCAATGGTCGTTTTGTGCGATAGACTATTGAATTGGCTCTATGTTCAAACATAGAAACTATTTCTTTTGTTTCAATTTAACCAAGGACTCCAAGCACTGCGAAGGTGCAGCTGAGGTCAATTTCAAGACCAAGTAAATGAGCTAAGAATGCCACTGCAAGCGGAACTAAGTCAAACCCCGGCAAGTCAAAGAAAACAACGGCACATGCACTGCACGGTCCCTTATATCTTCATGGTCTGTCAAACCAATGAAACGCAAGCTTTAAACCTGGCACCCTCATTTTGCTTCACCTTCCGTCTGACTGAAAACCCGCCGGAATCGGGCCTGGCGTAATGCAACCAATTACTTGAAACTGAATTGCCAACCGATAAACTACAGCCGCTTGTTGGACTTCCTCTGGCTAAAATCTTTGACGACGGGCTCATTCTGTACATTGGTCGACCCCTCGGGGTTGATGACACTTGATGACTTCTCGGATCAACCTCTTAGAGCATGTTTGTTCATCTGGCTCTTCAGAACAACGCCAAAGGCAACGGTAGCCCGTGAGCTGAGCGGGCGCGGGTGTAAACTGGGAAGGAATTTCCTGCGGTTGTCCTCCTTGCTACACCTGCTTTTTTAACGACACTGGCATGCTTAAGTGTCTCCAAAGTGCAGCCGTGCTGTGGTTGCAACTCATGGCGCTTGCAACGTTCTATGTTTATCATTAATCGTTTTTTGTATAGTTGCTATTCAAACATTTAACAACGGTATATATATATACGTATGTACGTATGTATGCATGCAGTGATGTATGTATGTATACATGCATGTATGTATGTTGACCAAATAGATCAACTGCAGCAAGCAAAGAAATCTCTGCCTACAAGCTGCGCAAACTAACCTCTGCATTCGTGGATCTCCTAGCCGGCCCCGCAACACCCCAAAGTAGGATACATACATCTGACCAACGCTGCGAATCGCAACAGCTTGGACATTTGGAACCATTGAGAATGCATACTGCATATGTATGAAATCTGAGCAAGCTCTTCTTTGTCCATCTTTCACACCAAAACAGCTTGCAGCTCGCCAAGGACCTTCCATGCAAAAGACTTCCCACAACAGTAGCTGCATGATGGGCAGCGCAACATGCTCATCCGCTTTCAAGTGGTTGGCTCCAAAACGTCACTATAATGAGTGCTCATATGCTTCACGCTTTGCTTGGTATAGGGGGTGTTACTCGACAACGTTGACGAACATATCATTATAATCGATGCTCCAACCCTGCGTGCAACCCATTTCGATTATTTTGAGATGGATTGTCAAACAACACCAGGTTGACCTTGATTTCACCTGCTCCATACTTCTCGACTATGAAATGGCCTGCAATAGCTCATACCGAAGCAACAAAGAATCTTCGGGAATACGCAAAATGCAACTGAAGGTTTTTCTCGTGGTTGTCAGCCGTGCAGGAGTTTGCCACAAACTGCCTGAATATTTCCTTCCTTGAGCCTTCCACGCTCGCCAGCCGTTCGTGAGGTTCAATCAACAGAATCATACTGGGCGAAAATGTGGAGGATCTTCAGTTGCGCAATGCACAAACAAGTCTCCAAAGGATATTTTGTAGAAAAACATCCGCATTATGCAAAGTTGCAGTTGCGCGTCGCGCTCATGGGCCTGCGCGTGATACGTAAGTGGGATAGGAGAAGAGCAGAAGTTGGAGAATTGATTTTTGGGAAGGGTAGATAGTTCTCTACTACTCTACTCAGTGCATGCCTATGTGTCTCAAGTCAAAGTCAAGACGGACACAGCTTCAATCATGTTGATTGAGGCCGACTACAAAAATGAGAACTCTTGAGCTGAGAGAACGGATTGGGGGAAATCAGCTGAAATATGTTTAATGCATTTTAGGTGAAACTGGTGGAATAGACTTGAATGGACATTGCCGTCCTTGTGGCTGTGGTTGCCTTGTCGCTGTGAGCTGTTCTGACTGCGCTCGGCCCACAATCTTTTCTGTGCAATGACAATTCGGACGAAAGGGGTAGGCTGCGAGGGGCGACAAACAACTTGCGAATCATTACATGAAAAGCCGTCATTTAACATTCACCACATGCGCCTCCCGGACAGTGGTGACCACGTGGAAGGCATAGGAACAAAACTAAACGGAAGCAAAACGCAACACAATGCTTTACATATGCTTACACTGTCTTGGTGACAATCAACCATCAATTGAAGCTGGCTCAGTGCCAAGTGGATGCCACAGTTGAGACGTGGACGATGTGAACATTCTACATTCTACGGCAGGAGGATACTCTTGACACTGCTGCTGGATTCTCAGTTTTCTGACGTTTGGATACCAAGTCACAGCGCAATACATTGTTTTGCGCACGTACGATGCCCAACCGTTGGTAGCATTAAACAAAATCAATAGCCCGGGATATTCACAGCTCGTATTCCTACACCCCACATCATTGAACAACACCTGGGCCTACAACCAAAACCCTGTCGCCATGACTGTCAACACCCCCAAAGCAAAAGTACCACGACCACCGCCGCCGCTGCCACCGCCACCACAACAACAATCACAATAGCAGCAAAAACAACCACAAAAGTAGCACCAGCAAAAATTATTTACAGTATATACAATAGTACTTAGTAGAAACGCAATGCAAAACCAATACAAAACAGTGCCCCCGCCTTTTGAACAAGTGCTCGTACACTTCCATTGCACCAGCCAAGCCATGTACAGTGTGCCACGTGGGGCATGTCTCTTCTGAACTTCCATTAAAAATCAAATTCAAACAGTTCAATGTTCTGAAGCGCGCAGCCGACAGAACTCATTTTGCCTTCCGACTGGCCTGAGCCTTTGCAATTAGCTTCGCTTAAGCATTTATCATCTTTCAGCCTCCTCGGTCTCTTGGCAACAAATCCAAAACCAGCTCCGAAAAAAACACCAGGAAGTCTTAGGTTGTCTTCTTGTTTTCTAAAAAACCACACGCCAAAATTTGGCTCCAGTGATGCTGACGAGCTCCTTGAACACATCCGGACTTCAGCTGTGCATAGGTGCTCTGCAGGAATGTCCTTCACGTTCAATTGGCAATGCACAAGCAAACGGTACATCTGTATAGTTTCAACGCCGTGGCGGTTACATACAGCCCAGGACAATTGTGGCAACACAAAGACACCACACATGCCTTGACAAATGAAGATTCGAAAAAAATCATCTCCATCTGGTTTTGCCATGACCTCATCCCTTACTTGTTGCGCGAGCAGCTACCCAACAAACCATTCGGAAAAAGGGCCGGGTTCGGGAGGCTCGTGTGTTTGAATTGGGGCGGGCCTTGAGCCTGACGAAGATACGCCACAAGTCGTCCTCCCCTACAGACTCCAGAATATGTTGACACAGCCATTGATGTTCCCTGGCATCCGAAGCGCAGGCGGGTCGCCGGGTCGCTGTGCTTTGATCACTCTTTTGCAATGAGGCGCGCAGTCCATGGCCACCCCAGATGGCACCTCCAGGGTGGCATGGCCCACACAGGCCCGCCTGGCACTTGGCCAGATTCATATGGAGATGGAGTGGGTGGGTGGGGTTTTCAATTTGCAGCTGCACCCAGCACCGCACTTTAACCAAGCAGCTGCACTGTACTGTAGGATGCACATGCAAGCATCATTCCAGATCCACAAATGCATCCACTACTGCAGCCGCGCAACTGGCAAATGTGCCAGCACTCATGAGGGTTTGATGTGTTTGCCAAGTCAACACAGGCTCAACCCTCAATTAGTAGCGTGGCACCTTTTTTGAAAAGCCCGCCACAGTTCTGCAACTGCAAGCACTCTTTTGCAATGGAAGGCGCACAGTCCATGGCCACCCCAGATGGCACCTCCAGGGTGGCATGGCCCACACAGCCCAACCGAAGGGTGCGCCAACATTGCAAAGACCACAATCCTCTCTGATCCCCGACTGAAGGTGGTCGCACGCAAGCTAACGCCAGGGCTGGTGCAAAATGGCAGCAACTGACAAATCATCAACCAACAGGATTCTGTTTCGCGGCAAGAATCCAGATGGCATGTCGCCACGACTGAGACTATCAGCCCATGTATTGCGTATCCCAGCGATGTGACTCAAGCTCAAAGAGACGCTATGCTTGCAGCAGTAATAGCCTAAACACTGCAGCACCCAACACAACGGTTCGCTCTGTGAAAGCATCTTGGCCGAAGCCGCTGTCACCCCAGCATTATCACACAATTGCGAAAACTGAAGAACAACATGCTTGGCCACCGCATCTGCTTGCTGCACTTGAAGCAAAAGAAGCACCACTTGAGCAAGAGCTTCCAATGCTGCGATACACTTCTGCAAAGATGGGCCATTGCTCACTTTGAACCACCCAGGCAAACTGCAGCGATCTAAGTCCAATCTGAACCATTTGACATTAGATGCTTCCATCCGACAATGTGTGGGCAGCCACCATCCGCCAATCCCCGCTGTTGAGTCAGTTGCAAAAGCATCCGCTGCACTCAACCCAGTATTGTAGGGGGATATCTGCAAGGGGATTGGAGCATGATCTTCAATATATCTGATCAGCAATTTTGCCACATGCACCTGGTGGAAGAGCAGTCTCCATTGAAGAGCGCTACAGAAACCCGATCTTTTCGGATTCGGGGAGTGGACAAGGCAGGCGAAGATAAAGATGTGACAACCCCACCGGCAATGGAGTGCAATTTCCACCCTTTGCAAACGTCGCAAGAGGGAATATCAGCTTTGACACGCAAGCCATCGCTCAATGCTGCCACAAGTACTTCAAAACGCTCCAACGCCAACAACCGTGTTACCGCTTGCGGTTTGTAAAGCAAGCGGTAAAACTCACTGAGCCAAGGTCTTAGCCAGACTGCACCATGTGTAAACCACACCAAAAGGCCAATCAACCGTTCCAGCTCAATCTTGCACACTTCCGCTTTCAAGCGACACAGTGGGCAGAGCAATGCCACAATCTTTTGGGCCAGGGACACGAATCCAGTGTTGAAGCAAAATTTCCAACCCACCCAAACTCAAGCTTCCGCCAACTTATATAATAGGAGGCCCAAGGTCACCAGAAGCATGGTCACACACGTTGCTAGCAAGGGCGCAACTGATGAAGGTAGCAACGCAAGCCCATCATCTACATAATTGAACAGCGCGCGACGCACGAACAGAAATTTGTGTAAAGTCCTCACAATCCATGCGCTGGCACGCGACCACCAGTATGCGCTATACTTTGCACCAAAGTAGCATGAGCGATAGCAAATCCATGTTTGCTCCAGCGCAAAACAAGTCAGCCCTTGCTCCGCATCTGTGATTGTGATACGCTTGTGAGCGGCAGCAACATCAAAGGAGAAGGCATTGCTCACTGACCCGTCGCCAATGAGGCGCGCCTTCTTCCCGGGGGCCTGAACGACGCCTAGTTTGCCTGCAGCCACCAAGTCCCCAACGAGCCCTGGCTTCTGCTTCACCTCCAGGGAGGATGTATGCAAATCCTGCATCCAGGTCTAAGACCAAGTCAAGGCCACATCCGCTGAAGCGCTAGCCCAAGGATGTTTGTGAACCATCAACTCTAAATGATCCTCGCTCCCGTCAACGTCATCAGCACTGTCCCAAATACCCAAGGGCGCTATGGGTGCAACAATCCCTGTGAGAACCCCATTGTGCATGATATCCGGCAATTGCCAGTCTGGATCCTGCGTAGCCAGACTCAAAGCGCGCCAAACATCCAACACAAAGGGTTGATGCTCCCTGATACGGAGATGGCAAGGAAAGCTCATGCAAATCCACCAAGAACTCTTGCAATACTGAGCGCAAAGCGCCAATTTCTTCTGAGGTAAAGAGATTCATATTGTATTTGTTGGCCACATGCTGTAGCAGGCGCGGCACAGCCTTCCAAGTCGCCGCCAACGAAATAGATTGCTTCCTTACTGCACCAAGCCAATCATGAAGTCAATGATGATCAGCATGGGGCACAGACCAATCTGCCGATGAGCAATGTCCACCCCCATCAATGATGGAGAGCTTGCACGCTGACACGGCCACTTAGGGCCCTCTAACAACTGTAGCTGGAGCTTCTACACTGCTAAGCGCTGGGTCCTCACCCCTACTACTCCTAATAGGGGCAAGGAGCTGTCCCTAGCCGGGCCCTAGCCCTCAGTCACTTCCGGGCATTGGGAGCGACCATGACTCTCTTTACCACACTGCTTGCATGTATGCTTGAAGCGGCACTCTGCACCACGCGAAGACTTGCCAGATTGAAACTGAAAGCAGGAACCAGTAGAGCGCAATCGCTCGCCTTTGCCCTTTCCTTTGCTGACGCTAGCAGAAGGAGCATCCATGCTCTTGCGCTTCTTAGCATAGTCCGATGAGGGGACAGGCACATACGCGGTCGCAACTGCAACAAGGAATTCAGCCAAGCAGAACCTTCCACACAATCTTGCAGCGCTTGATCCAAAGACCATCCCTGCTGTAGCTTTTCTCCCAAGCGTCTGCGGCCGCTGCCTCTGCTTCTGCTAAGGAGGGCAAACGCAAACCAAGTTCTTTAGGCACATGTTGAGAATATAAGGCCACAAACTGCCGCATGAGAGCATTAGCTGTGCCAAGATGGCACCATCCCACCAATGACCAGCAAATGCCGCGTAAAGACAAGATCCGCTGTACCCCGAATGGGGGCGGGCTCACAAAGCCTTCATGGATGTCCTGGTGACCCGCTGCTTCTGCAAGAAAGCCCAGAAAGGATTTTTCCTTCTTCTCACAAGTCTTCTTGGAACCATCCCACTGAGCGTCGCTCAAAATAAACTTCCAAGGTATGAAGCGCAAATCTCCTTCCTTCTTCTGATTGTACACTTGTTGAATCAACTGCCGGCAAGGCCGGCTATGCTCATCCAAAGATTCCGATGGGAAGTCCGCTTCCACAACTCTTGGATGGTTGCCACCTCTAGCTTTGTACCGGTGATACCCAAGAGCGCTGGCAAAGAAGTCACATCTGGCAAGCCCACAGCACTCCCAGTATTGGGTGTTGCCACCGCAACAGCCGGCTCACGCCACAAGCCCCTCAGCATGCCAGCAACCGGATGACAAGCCCAGTCATCGTCCAAATCACCCAAGATTTTCTTTTTGGTCAGCAAACGGTCAATGAAGCTCTCAAAACTGTCATCATCTTTAAACGCCATGGTAAAGGCCACCTTACCTTCTTTGGGCAGCTGCGCGCTCTCCAACTCATTTTTCCAATCAGAGTTCGCCATTGCGCACGCGCAGGCAGCAAAAGAGGAGACCAAGCAAACGCGCAGATCAATCACACTGCCTTGACTCTTGCTCCAACGCAGAAGCACAGTCAACTTGCTGACATGAAAAGCACGCGCAGTCGTTTTCAATTTGCAGCTGCACCCAGCACCGCACTTTAACCAAGCAGCTGCACTGTACTGTAGGATGCACATGCAAGCATCATTCCAGATCCACAAATGCATCCACTGCTGCAGCCGCACAACTGGCAAATGTGCCAGCACTCATGAGGGTTTGATGTGTTTGCCAGGTCAACACAGGCTCGATCCACAAACGCATCTACTACTGCAGCCGCACAACTGGCAAATGTGCCAGCACTCATGAGGGTTTGATGTGTTTGCCAGGTCAACACAGGCTCGTTTCAAACCGGAAGACGCTTAACCAAAAACCTTTGAAAGCGAAGAAGTTGTTCGCAGGACATGTCCCATTAACGCCTTGATGAAACACAAGAAACAAGTATATACTATCAAAGCGCAAAATGGACGCTACGGAGCGCCCTTTTCACCCTGAGCCAGAACATACGCGAAGTCCTTAGTCAGAACTGTACAAGCGGAGTATATATCTCCGAGAATACCGAAACACTTCAGCTCATATTCTTCACTGCTTCACTGAGAACCTTCCAAGCTTGTCCAGGTGATTTGTTTCATCTCGCAACGCTGGGAAGTCCTCACCATGAACCATCACCCGGACGTCCCAGTCCTCATGAAAGAACGCTGATGCAACCGAGGCTCCTCTACGGAACCCGGCGTTTTGCAAGGTTTCTGGTAATGCGTCTGTCAGATGTTCGGGGCGCCTTGCGTGCCGTAGATAGACTTCACAAGAAGTCCACTTCGTCTTGATTAGGCAATTCTATGTAAACCTTTCTCTTTGGCGTTCCATAGAAGTGGGCTCTTGAGATGTCCCACAAACCCAGCTTCAGCTTCTGGTTGCGGCGAGACTTTCTCTTCGTTGCCCACAACGAGCCATCGCCTCCAAAGGTGGCGCGCTGCTAAAAAGCAAGTTTGCTGGCAACTGCTCTTCCTTGGTCTTTCGAGCTTTGATCTCACGCGCTACCAGTCTGCTCCTGTAGTTCGGGTTTGTTGGGTCACCCTTGTTGTGTCTAACTTCACCGGTATCGGGGGCTTCCACGTCTCTTCAAAGCACTCTGTTCTTGGCCTTGTCACATAGACACCACACTTGACTTTCAAGTAGTCCATCTCAAGGCGTCTTGGTTCTCGCACTTTCTCTGCTGGTAAGAAACCACCGTTCACATCGTCCATGTAGATCTGTTCGAACTCTGGACGCGCAAACGGTGTCTCTGGTAGTGGTCCTGCTGCGAACATGTCAAAGGCGTTCAGCCCGCTTTTCTCTGTCAAGGTGTCGCCAGTGGGTAAACCGCTGCTGTCTTGCGATTCCTCCGATCAAGTGGATGTGCCTGTGCCATGGTCCTTTGCGTGTCTGATTCGAGCAAACACCTTCCAAGGTTCGTGCCATTTTCATCATTGGTCATCCATCCAACCTCCTTCCGGACATACCCTGTACCTTGGAGTCCTCTCTCGTCTGTTGCCATCATTTGCCATGTGCACATGGGTCCATAGGTCCTTTGACCACAACTTTCTTGCGCCGGCTCAACAAGTCTCCTGCCTGTCTTGGCAGCCATGCGAACGCAGGATCATCATCCTTCAGCTCCTTCATGAGCTTCTCCTCCAAAGCGCTCCTGAGCACTCGCACTTGGCGCTTCACCTCTTTACAGGCATTCTCTGCCAGTCCGTTTGCTTGGTGGTCAGCCACTGGCGGTTCCTCAGAGACCCGTTCCATGTTGGTCTTCTTCGCTGCGGCCTCCTTCAGGGCCAGTATGGATGGTGCTCCATCCGACTTGAGTGCAACTTTCCTGTGCCCAAGATTCGTCAAGAAGTTTGCAAGGAACTTGGTTGCACGGTGCGGCCCCTTCGAGTCCATGAAGGTCGCCGCTAGGGACTGTGTCCTCTGGCAGTAGGCTCTTGGCCTTCTGCTCGCAATGCAATGCCGGCATCAACTCCTATACTGCACATGGCCTGTCGCCTTGTGCTCCTCGATCTCAACCGGAGTGGGACCCTCCGGTGCTCTTATTCGGATGGGTTTCTCAACCTCATCAACCTCTTCCAACTCACTCCCTTCTACATAATCCTTGGACATAAAGCTGGCCAAAAGCCAATGCCTGTCACATGTTGTCGGCGGGATGCGCTGGCAGAATGTGAACCAAAAAAACGTTTTTTTTTTGCAGCGCATACGGCGTTTACTGACCATGCCCCACGCGCAATATCACTCATGTGAGTGCGATGGCTGTTGCACAGGAACAAGTCCGCATGGCTCCTTCACACTGTTGTTGATGCATATAGTTTCCAACACGTCAATGAACTCCTCCTGGAATCGGGATCTGAACACCATCTGGTTTTGTTCAAGATGCAACATCAAATCTGACTGACTATTGTGTAAGGCCCAGCCCAAGCAAGGCTTCACTGAGACCTTGCACCATGATTCACCTGGAACTTAGACTTTTTCTGGTGGCTCGCTTCAAAACATCAATAATGTCTGGGAGCGAGCCACCAGAAAAGTCTAAGTTCCAGGTTTATCTACCAACAATCGGCAGCCAACCTCGTGCAATTGCCTAGTCGGCAAACCTGGAAAAGCAGCACTCTCACTCTCATGTCATCATAGCAGTTCTGAAGAAAACACCAGTGGCATACAAAACTGTATGTTTTTTCTTCCATGTCTGCTCTGAGACCTCAACTAGCAACTTTGGACTCCAAAGCTCTGGCCCAACCTTTGGCGATGGTGTGACAAAGAAGGCATCGCCGCTCCTCAAAACAATTGGCCAATGAAAGTACAGACCTGTAAATATATATATATACCTGAAGAGGGGGGGCAAAAGCCAGCAGCCGAGTGTCTCTTTTTCTGGCGGGCGTCGCGGCGCAAGACACATGGTCGGCAGCTTGCGAGTCAGCGGCGCCGCGGATGCGGGCGGGCGTATGTAATGGCGATGGAGGGGGCAGAGAAGCAAGCCGGGCGGCTTTGGGATAAGTGTGGTATGAAGGAAAGAAGTAGTGAAAGAGAAATGCGATACGTTGTATGTTGGTGTAGGTCATCATCACAAGGCAATGGCTTTTTTTGTCACACGCAGGAAGGTATGCGTCTTATGGAAGCTGGAAGGCGACATCAGCGTTAGCGAGGGGGAAATGCCGTGTGAGTTCCAGTGGGATACTTCCAGTGGTGGGATACAAGGCGCGCGCGCGCGTGCGCGAAGACCTCCTCCATAGTCAGCGTCGTCGCGCGCGCGCAACCGTGCGGGCCGCGCGCGAGTACGGCCTGCGTTTGAAAAAAAGCAGTTATGTGTTTTATTACATTTGGCGTGTTTGAAGTTTGCAACGCATACTGCGGCGCGTCGAAAAGCAGCATTCGTTGATTTGGGAGAGTGAACGGGCACGTCTTAGCCGGCGCGCGGACGTTTGATCCCGCTGCGCAGAAGGGAAGGTTTAGCGGGAGTAGCTTGGGCTAGCGCAGGAGTGAGGATTTGTGTGCCTATCGATGCACATGCCTGGACTTGAGCGGGTCATGTTCTGGCTCGATCCAAAACACAATCTTTTTCCTTTAAAGGGGCCTTTCTTAAACGATCCAAACACATTCTCTATTTTTCTTCTTATCAACCTTTCTCACTCAGAGGCCTTGACTTTGGCACCCGCGCGTGTAGATCTTTGGGCCGTGGACTCAGGCTGACTGGATTCGGCCAGGGCTGCCAGCAAACAGGGCGACGTCATGAGTCAGTAGTATATAGAATTTATCCATCTATCTATCTATCTATCTGTCTCTCGATTTCTCTATCTCTATCTATCTATCTATCTATCTGCGCTTTTCTGACCCTCGCTTTGGAGCGCTCTCCCTACCAAGCTCTGGGTTCACCCTCTCAAAAGGTTCCTCTCAACGACCACCCCCCCACACGCCCTTAACTCACTTCGTTCGCTCTAAAAGTTCAAGCCTAGCCTATTGGCTGGCTTTCGCAATATTTTGGAACAGCCACAATAGAAAAGATAATCAAAAGCAAAGCGCAAGTTGAACCTCTTCAAACACTACTGAGTTCGTGTATTTGCCACAAACTGCTTGAAGGAAAAAAAGATTCGGCACCAAAAACCTGTGTGAAAAACGCATTTTGGTCTACTCCTCGGGAATCTGGCTCAATGTGAGTGGAGGATCCTGACAGGAAAGGGCATAATAATATGCAGAAAATATATATAGGTTTTCTTAAAGGGGGGTAGGGTGAGTCGAGGAGGAAGGAGGTAGTAGGTAGAGGTGGGTAGCTGGTAGAAGCTAGGTAGTCGCTAGCATCTTACTTAACCTACTAGTATGGACGCTTGTTCCAGGAAGCTCCCCCCACCGCCCTAAAGGCGGCGGGGGGAAGCTTCCTTGAAGAAGCGCCCGCACTAATGATTTGACTGAACTGAATTCAAGCGCGAGATTTTGCAGGGTAACTCGCTCCGGAATGCTCTCCATCTGTCTCATCACTGCCTTATGTTGCGCTGGCACAACGTGACGCCCGGTATGATGGCCACACTTCAAGGATCGAAACTTTGAACTTTCCGAACATGTGTTGTGTGCTCATATGGCCCTCTTTTGCAACTCTCCTGCTTAAACATGCAGTGTAGCTTTGCGCACATTTGAGGAAGGCCTCACCAGGCTGCCAAAGTACTTCTCTACCTTTGAGGTGAGTCTGCGTTTCTGGGGCCTCTAGCCAACACCTCTTCCATACTTCCTTCATGACCTGCGATGCAGTAGTTGGAGCATTTGGCAGATTTCTGAAGAACATAAAGACTTAAGCAATGATTCTTGGAGAAAATTGGCAACCAAGACGCACTCTTCGTGATTGAAGAACCAGCAGTGAACACCATAATAATCACAAACCCGTACTGACAGAAGCAGACTGAAGCTCTGCCCTCAACCTAAATGAGGGCATCAAGGACGCGTTCGGAAGCGATTCGACCCGGCACCTGCAACTAGCGGAAGGACCAAGCATAAAACTCGCATTCTGAAAAAAAGAGAAAGTTCTCTCTGATCCGAAAATTATGGGCATGTTGCTTGAGGAAATTGGGTGCATTTGCGACACAGCATGGACATATGATCGAAGCCTGGATCAAAATGGCACACGTTGCACATGAGAGCATTGTTGTTCACATGCGCGTTTGTGTGTGTGTGTAACTCTTGGAATCATAGGGATCCTTTTGGATTTGCTCAGCTTTTTTCCACAGCAGGGGGCACCGGGGGTGCTGATGAGACCGGTGCTAACAAAGACACTCATCAGTCACCTGTGATACAGTTGGAGACGTCCAACTGCGTAGCTGCGAATTTTCCTATTTTCTGCATGGCGTGAGGCTAAGCCAAGAACCTCGCAGAAACTTTGATGTTTTCTTGCACTGCAGATGTGAGCGTACGCCGTCATTCTGTCGATCGATCGTCCGGTGGTTCCTCTAGCATTGATGGCCTCGCTGAACTTGATGGACCTCCACTTCCTTTTAGGTTTCTTTACCTGTACCCTTAGGAATTGGAACCCTAGGCCGGCGTGTGGCGCCGCTATCAAGTCAGTACGCGTATCCATGAGTGTGTTTGGCTTCGTGCCAACCCGGGATGAGCCCGCAGAGTGCCTCCCGTGGACCCGTCGACCGGGTGTACGTCTTTCTCTTCCTTGCTTTGGAGAGGTAGGTGTCCGGAGCGGACAGCAGGTGGCCTAGGCCGTACGTACGATGATCTTTGTCTCATCTTTGGAACTCCAAGTTGGCCTATGCCTTTACGTGACCGCAGCGGTCAAAGCAGCCAGCCGTTTCGGCAAGGCACAAGGTGACCACAGCGGTCAAAGTATTTTAAGGTTCATTGGAACCTGTTGGACACTTAGGTGCACATACATCGTACACACTTCAACGAGGCAGGTCTTCCTAGGTTGTTGTAATGAGGTTTGGTTTCATCGGTTCCCGTCCCCTCCATTTGGTTCCCCTTTCACCTTTTCCCCTTCACACACACTTCTTTTCCTCTTTCTTTTCATGTCTTCCCTTGCTTCATGTCCGTTCATCTCACTCCTTTCGTTCTTTTGCGCGTACAATGGTCCGGGCCTTAGTGTGTACGCGCACATCTACTACTCAGGTGTTAGGTCGCCCAGGTCTCGACAATGAGGTGGGCTCATCGGTTGTCCCTGTGCACTTGGTTTCCCTTTCATTGCCACCACCCACACTTTTGTCCTGTCTGTCTTCCTTTTCATGTCTTCATCCTTTTGTCCTTTCTGCGCGCACATTTGCGCAATCGTCCTAGCCTTAATTTTGCCTCCCCTCAGGGAGGCGTGTGTGTGTAACCCTTGGAGTCATAGGGATCCTTTTGGATTTGCTCAGCTTTTTTCCACAGCAGGGGGCACCGGGGGTGCTGATGAGACCGGTGCTAACAAAGACACTCATCAGTCACCTGTGATACAGTTGGGGACGTCCAACTGCGTACCTGCGAATTTTCCTATTTTCTGCATGGCGTGAGGCTAAGCCAAGAACCTCGCAGAAACTTTGATGTTTTCTTGCGCTGCAGATGTGAGCGTACGCCGTCATTCTGTCGATCGATCGTCCGGTGGTTCCTCTAGCATTGATGGCCTCGCTGAACTTGATGGACCTCCACTTCCTTTTAGGTTTCTTTACCTGTACCCTTAGGAATTGGAACCCTAGGCCGGCGTGTGGCACCGCTATCAAGTCAGTACGCATATCCATGAGTGTGTGTCCCTTGGAATCACTGGCATCCTTTTGGATTGTTCTCGAATTTGGCTTTGGTAGCATTTATAGCAGGGGGACCATCCATGTGCTGCGAGCGATGGTCCAACGAAGCGGCCACGGTACATGTGGATATCACGGCTGATCACCGTGACGCACCTGCTTTGAGATGAACCTACGTATGTGCAAAGCTGTCTCATTCTTTGCTGTGCAGTGAGCGTCTAATGCAGCGGGGAGTCACCTCGGCGTACGCCCCCTGGTTTCTTAGGCTTTTCACTTAGGCTGGCGTGTGGCAAGCCGCAACCAAATCAGTACGCCAAATCTCAAGTGTGTCTGGCTTCACGCCGGCCCAAGGTGAGCCCGCAGAGTGCCCCCTCTAAACCCGTTGAACGGGGGTTTGTCGTTGTTTCCCTTGCTTTGGAAACGCACGTGCCCAGAGCGGGCGGAGTAGGCTTGTGCCAAAGTCATTTGCCAAGACCTGATGGATTATTGAATTCCAAGTAGGCAGTCTTCGGACACGCCATGAGGTGACCACAGCGGTCAGTAGTAGGCAGCCTTCGGGCACGCCACCACGTGGTCGCAGCGACCAAAGCTTCTTCAAGGTTCAGTGGAACCTGTCGCCCTCTTAGGTGCACACACACACACAGCGTATACTTACACTTAAATGACGCGTTGTTTGCCTAGGTTTTTCTAATGCGGTCTGGCTTCATCGGTTCTCGTCCCCTCCATTTGGTTCCCTTTCATCCTTTTTCCCTTCGCACACTTTTGTTTTCCTCTTTTCTTTCATGTCCTCCTGTCTTCATGTCTTGGCATTTCATTCCTTCTTTCTTTTGTGCACACATTGGCCCCGCCCTTAGTGTGCACGCGCGCAACCTACCTTCAACCCAGGTTTCTCGCCCTGGTCTTTACAATGAGGTGGGTTTTCATCATTTGTCCCTGTGCACTTGGTTCCCTTTTCATCGCAACCACATACACCTTTGTCCCGTCCTGTCCTCTTGTCATGTCTTCATTCAATCACAGGGATCCTTTTGGATTGTTCTCGAATTTGGCTTTGGTAGCGTTTGTAGCAGGGGGACCACCCATGTGCTGCGAGCGATGGTCCAACGAAGCGGCCACAGTACATGCGGATATCACGGCTGATCACCGCGACGTACCTGCTTTGAGATGAACCTACGTAAGTGCAAAACTGTCTCATTCTTAGTTGTGCAGTAAGCGTCTAATGCAGCGGCGAGTCACCTCGGCGTACGCACCCTGGTTTCTTAGGTTTTTCACTTAGGCTGGCGTGTGGCAAACCGCAACCAAATCAGTATCTCAAGTGTGTGTGCGTGCGGCGCACACATCATACTTTGCAGCCTTTTTTCTTTGAGTTCTCCTGCGAGGTGCATGCTGCATCACCCTGATGTTTGAGACTAAGGCATCCGTTTGAACTGCCAACTCTTGAATCACTGCCTGTGGGAGAGCCTGTGCAACCATGAAGAGCACGAAGATCCCACCATTACCATATTGCAAGAACAAGCTGTACACTGTACATGCTCGAACTTCGAACGGGCCAGATCAGCCGGAGCTTAACAGGGTCATGCGCAATGCCAGGGCTGTCTCTGCCACGTTCCATTTGTGTCTCTGTGGGCACTGGGCAACTGTTATGGGCCTCCTTCTGCGTCTCAAACAGGCCCATTGCTCTTGGTCCTATGACCACTGGCGCTGCCACAAAGGTCCTCCTGCGCAAGATAAATAAATTGAGTGACACATGAACCAGCGTCCAGAGTTCAAATGAATTCAACAGCGCAGGGACGCACAAACAGCACCTGGGGAAAATCCAGCAGTTTACAGTATATGAGTCGAGATGGTACTCAATATGAATTGATTACTGGTAGGTCAGGCGCGGGGAAGCGAGGTGGGTCAAGAGGTGGAGACGAGAAGTGAATTGGTCTCGACCTTGTGGACGAGTCTTGCCCCTCACGGACCCTTCCATAATTCTTGCGGGGGGTTCCAAAGGGGGTGAGCAGGCTGAACAAGGCAACGGCAGAATGAGAGGTGATGAGAACAGAATGGTATGTGAGTGGAGTGAGAGGAGAGAGGAGAAGAGGGGAGTCCCAGGTTTCATGGGTCCCTTTACACACTCAAGAACTCAACACAAGGCCTCCAGAAGAGGTGCCAGCGCCACGTTGCAGTTATACTGACAGAACCCTAACTACACACGCTGGCTTCAGAAGCAAAGTGGTCAAATATGTCTACTGCTTAGTATAACATGACATGATAGAAAAAGCTTCGGCTCAAAGTATGCACCACTGCACACCAGCTACCACGCACTACAAGCCAGAACAAGCAAACAGTACTACAATTCGGATGTGCACATGAGCAGGAGCAGCGGCTAGCGCTGCAAGTGAGACACCGGCCAAAAACGCAAACGTCGCGAGGCTGGTGGGATGAGTGGAGTCAACGTCTCAAGACTTACTGTACTTGTGCATGGGCTGCCTACAAACAGAGATCACACAAAGCTAAAAGCAGCAGGCACAATTTTAGAGCCCAATTTCTACAAACGAAGAGAAAGATCAATACCTACAAATGCAATGGGGTTTGACATCTACAAACAATTGTATTCACTACGTACCGAAGGCTCTACACACCAGTTGGCAACAAATGCATCGGTTGGTAAACAATGGATTGAGGAAACCTTCCTAGTGGGAGTTTGATGTTTCCCGCTGCCCACATGATCATTCAGCGCTACAAAATTCAAGACTGCCATTTGCAAGATACGGAACATAGTTGTCAAGTTCACCAACCAATTGCAAAACTCACAAAGAGTTTTAGCACTACATATGACACCAGCTACATACATAATAGGTCGCAAAACACACACACATCCACACCAGCCAGGGAAGAGTACTGACACACTCAATCAGCGACGCTATAACCAGACAGACCCAGAGCTACTTACAAGCAACCAGACAGGCGGCATTGGGAGAAAATATTCAGCCAACACCGGCCTACATCCCAACTCCTATGGAAGTAGAAGATATGAAAGACTGCTGGGAAGAACAAGACACAAAGTGGATACTGCAAGATAAAGCAACATCTTATACCATGGAAACGCCCCATTTACTGACTGAATGGAGCCCATCACAACCATACTGTACGCGAGAACCCATCTCACTTGAATACAATTTGACAGAGACAACAATTGCGCTGCAAGGCGCCTACCAAGCAAACATTGTTTCTGTGCGCAATCTACACGTACACACGCGAACAAACGCTGCCTGTAAAGTGAAAGAGGCAAACCCCCTACAGAAACCTACAGAAGAGGAAAAACAAACTAGACGACGGTTGGCCCGAGAGCGAGACAGGTGATTGTTCAGCACTGTCGAGTAATGAAACAATAAAAATCGAGAGTTTTCCAAGAGCCATGACTTCTTTATACAATCTGTTATTGAGTACGAAGTTGCGAAGAAATTAAACTTAAAATATAAAGAAAAGATATATAGAAGGAGGGAAAGAGAGGGCGGACGTGAAGGAGTGACATTGTGGATGTGCAGGCGCGAGGTAGATGTACAGATGTGTGGAGGTGGAGAGGTAGATCTGCAGATGCGAGCGTGCCAAGATGTAAATCTACGCAGGCGAGAGAAAGGACATGTAGAAAGAAAGAAAAAAGAAAAGAAAGGAAAAGAAAGGAAAAGAAAGGAAAAGGAACGAAAAGAAAGGACAAGAAAGGAAAAGAAAAGAAAAGAAAAGAAAAGAAAGAGAGGGCGGATGTGAAGGAGTGACAGTGGGGATGTACAGATGTGATATAGATGTGCAGATGTGTGGGTGCGTGGAGGTAGAGAGGTAGATCTGCGGATGTGAGCGTGTGACGATGTAAATGTACAGAGCACACTAGAAGCAATCCTACCACGCGATACTGCCAATCATCCCGCTCACCAGCGACACGCCGCGTTTACGCCAGCATGTTTC